ACATGGGGGGGCTTGTAAGCCCCCCCCATGTGATAGCAGTCAAAGGAAAAAATAAAAAAAGGTTTTTAAAATCAATAAAAAAAATGTAAAAGCCCCCCGCCCCCGCGTAAACACCTACGTATGAAAACGGCGAACGCGCTACACATGTTGGGTATCGCCGCGCACGCCGGAGTGAGAGCAATAATTCTAGGGCATCTCTAAATTGATGACCTGTGGGGGCTTTTAAAGCGTCTTCTGTGGACTTTTTAGGGTACTGCAGTTTTTCGCCATTTCACGGACGCACGCAATTTGTAAACTGGGCATGTTGGGTATCGTTTTACTCGTTGTAACCTCATCTTTTATATTTCATTTAAAAAATGGGTATTTTGTTCTGTTTTGGCGCATTTAATTAAATTTATCACTAAATTTTGGGGTTTAATAAGGAGTTGCTCTAATATTGCGCAACATAAAAATTTGCAACTACCACCATTATATTGTATAGCAGTGGTTCTCAACCTTTCTAGGGACAGGACCCCTTGGTATAATTTACCAAGTTGTGGTGACCCCCAACCGTAAAATTTAGTGATGCACCAATACTAGTATCTGTGGGCTCTCAGGTGGCTAGTGGGACTCTCTGGTGGTGTCCAGTGCGTTCTCTGTGGTGATCACTCACCTCCCCTCACTCCTGCCTCCTGCCATCTCTTTGATCCTCTCCGGCCGCTGCAGCGCCATCTAGTAGAACTGACACTGCTGCGCTAGGAGGTGGCTAAGGAGCCTCTTACCTAGAGCAGCACAAGGCACATGGGGACCCCCTCAACTGTGGGTTGCGACCCACAGATTGAGAACCACTGTTGTATAGGGTCTTGGCATTCAGAAAATATATAATGTGTGGGGGTTTTAAGTAATTTTCAGGCCTAAAATGTGGAATATAACATGGGTGCAAAAAAAAATGGGAAAAAAGGCCTCAGTCATGAAGGGGTTAAAGAATGTTGTAACAATCCGCAGACTAGTGAAAACATCACTCGGCTACACAAGCCTTTAATTGCATCTAAAAGCAAACCTTTGTTTTTTCAAAGTTTTGAACATGTGGAAAACAGTTAGACCCTCTGACAGCCTTTATTATAAATATAGGTTTGTCTGGTTGGGAGATTTGCCCCCTTTGTCAACTGTCATCAGGACTACAAGTGAAAGGGAAATCCAAAATTGTGAGTTGTCACCAGAAAAGGCAGAGGGGATATCTAGCAATGGGGAGACTTTAGATGTGGCATCTAAAGAAGAAATTTACCTCAATTAAGGCTGGGTTCAAACCTAGGCGTAGCGAATATGCGCGCCGTGCGTTTCTACCGTGATTCGCTATAAAAAAAAAAAAACACGCGACAAACACGCGTTTCCGAGGGCTACTTGGCTGTATCCCAATGGAAATGCACGACAAAAACGCCCCAAAGAAGCTCCTGTACTTCTTTGGGTGTTCATACGGCCTGTAATTCGCACAGGTGTGAACCATACCCATAGGTAATAATGGGATTTCGATGTTTGAGCATTTTGCAGAACGTTCGAACGCACTACGAAACGCCCAGGTGTGAACCGGGCCTTATTGAGATTGTCACATTTCTGTGTATACAGGAGAGAAGGTGAAGGAAAATACATTTAAAAAATAATCCTGATAGCCTTATCACTTTCTTCCAGGATCCAAAAAACCTCCAAAAAATGTTTCAACCCCGATAGGAGCTCTAACCATTCCCTGCTCTAGTCAGAATGGAAAAGGTTCTGGCTTTAGATACACTTTAATGGATGTTGGTAAGAGATTTTATAGCATATACTACATCTCGTACCCAATATTCCGCCATCATTTCCGTCTCCAAAATTGTCATCTTTGTATTGGTCATCATATTCCAAGTGGTTGCTCTTTTCGTTCAGCTGGCTGGGGTTCTGCTCTGGTTCCAGTAAGAGATTGGTGGCGCTGGTACTGACCAACATGTCATCTTCAAAAGCACTGCCTTCACGCATCATCTCTCGGTCATCCATACCAAAGTCACCTGTGCAATGCAAAAGGATTTGATGTAATACGCACATTAACAATGTTGACAAAAGCACATTTGGCATAAAAGCAAGGAGTACAAGTGAAGATTTCTGATGGACATGCAGCATGCAAGGCTCCAGGAATGTGATCAATAATGGTTTGATGTACCATTAAGACATCAGTGTCTGTTTTTAGGGGATAAGCGTTAGAGAAAAAAAAAAAGGAGGTAATTTTCATATGCAGGTAGTTACACTAATGGTCATGAGAATGCAAATTGCACCAACTGTAGTGAGCGTGCATCATGGGACAAACTACTGAATTTTAATAAACCGACAAACATACCAGAAAAAAAAGACCATTTTTGTTCTGCCACATACAGAAAAAACAGCTAGTGGAAGTCAATTACAAATATGGCTTCCCCCGCAGAATTACATCTTTTAATACTTTTAAAAGGATAACAGTATTTCCAGTGAGCACACGAGTTACTGAATGGTTCACCTTGACATTTTTACTTGCTATTCCATATTTGCTGCTGCAATTTATAAATGTGTAGAACAAAAAACACTAGAGGGCACTCTGAACGGGTTTAACTCCCTGCTTAAAAAGGCAGCTGCTAAAATAAAAAGTTCAAAAAGACCCTGCAAAAAACAAATACACTTCTCCTGCCACTGAACTGCACTGTAATGGAGAGACCCTGCTGAATGAAGAGTGTTGAATTCCTGGTGCCATACCGCACTGGCTAGTTCTGCAGGCTTCTACACTACCAATGGGCACAGTAGTAATGCAGTAGCAGGTGAAAGGTGACTAGCATTTTTCATTGCAGATGAGCAGCATGAGAGGTGAACATTTACAATCTTTGCAAAGGAAACGTTAGAAGATAGTTACTTTACTCATTAACACTGCTTAGAGTCGGCCCGTACAGATCCGTGCACGGCCATATCGGGCCGTTCCCGGGAAGTACATGAGCTGCGTATGATTGTATGCAGCAGCCTGTTCTTCTCTATGGGAGAACCATATGGTCAACCGAACTGCACATCCATGCTGGTGCTCGCACTCAACAGGATCCATCCTGTCTGCGTACAGGTACGCACACCCGCACCGATGTGCAGCTCTCGGGCGAGCGCATGGCCGCGTTCTCCCATAAAGAACAGGCTGGTGCGTACAATCACACGAATGCACCTGTCCTTCCCGCGAATGGCCTGATACGGCCATGCACGCCGCACGGACCTGTATGGGCCCACTAAGCAGTGCGAATGAGGCCTAAGAGACTCTACTTCCTTAAAGTAAAACCCCACAACCCACTGATGCATCACACTCTCCATCCCTTCACTATAACGCCCCCCTCTTCCCCACTCAAGAAATACCGGGTGCTTCTGGGTATGAGGGAAAAGGGGAGCTCCTCCTCTTCCTCCCAGGATGCAGTGTTTGAGTCAAAGTGGGCAATCGCCTGACCAATCCCTTCAATACCCAAGGGTTAAAAATCCCACACAAATTATAGGCAGCAGTTTACCAAGAATGTGATTTAGAAACTCATAACTGATATTTTAGTAATTTAAGTACTAAATATTACAATCTTGTAACGCAAAAAAAAGGTGCCCAAGATGAGTTTTCAGATTAGACCAAACTAACCTTCAAAACAAGTAGCCACAAGACAAGTAGATCCTGCAATAATATGACATTTAGCTAAAAGCCAAGATTGCTCGCCTACAGGACTAAACAGCCTTCACCTTCATGTGTTTATCTACATTATAATTTTTCAGTAATATTAGACGCAGAACCATAATATAGACTAAGCAGTCTTACTGAAACTGAACTACACTTCAAAGAAAATACTCACCAAAATCATTATCTTGCAAGATGTTAATGTTTCCAACCTCCTCCCGCATAGTGATCTCCTCCACTCTACTTTGGTTCAGGCTGAACTGCTGGGCCACATCAATATCACTGAGGAGACAGGTATGTCATGGTTAGGCATTCCAACTATTTACCCGCCATCGACAAAATGGCTCAATAAATTGTACATATTAAAATAATAACACTGGCCAATCACACAACAAAAACCAGTAATAAGTGAAAGTTGTGTCGCTTACTCTAGATCTGGCAATGGTTGGTCAAAATCATGAAATTCTTCAGGCAGAGTGATCGCATTGTATGCAGCTTCTCTGTTTTCTTCCGGCAAATCCACCACCCCTAAAAGAAAACGGCATTCCATGAGCTACACATTACAAACTTCACAAGTGTCAAAGTAACTGCCAGCTTAGTATGTATGGGGGAATATACCTTCCTGGAGAGGGCAGTGTGTATGGGGGAATATACCTTCCTGGAGAGGGCAGTGTGTATGGGGGAATATACCTTCCTGGAGAGGGCAGTGTGTATGGGGGAATATACCTTCCTGGAGAGGGCAGTGTGTATGGGGGAATATACCTTCCTGGAGAGGGCAGTGTGTATGGGGGAATATACCTTCCTGGAGAGGGCAGTGTGGAAGGAATATTCACTCACAGTTCATCACTGCTGTAGGCAGAAGGCTAGGTTCAGATATCGGCGATCCCAGGATGCGCGTCCAAGGACCACACCATCGTGCGCGGTTGCCGCACGGCCCCATTGATTTCATTGCGGTTATATTTGCACGGCAATCAATGAAAGAAAAAAGCTATTTTTCGACACGCACGGCATCTGAGCAGGAAACCACGCACTCTGCAGGGGTGCCATAAGAAAATAATGGCACCGGCGGCAGGATTGGTGGTGGTGCGAGATTCCTTGACCGCGCGGCCATCCACACTGTTTTGTGCACGATTGCTGCGTGGTCATGGATCTCCTTAGTGTGAACCTAGCCTAAGACACCACTGTCCCCAACAGAAAAGGTGTTTAGGCCTAGCAACTGGACACTCAGGACCAAGCAGTGTCACATGTTCTTCCACAGCCCTAGAACACTTACATAAGAGCAAGTGTAACCTTTGCTGGAAAGGCGTGCCATCAGAAGGCACCATCACATTGAACTGAGTGAGCAAAGCGACGATTTCTCCAACACTTCTTTTCTTATATTTCAAAAAGAGAGCAGCTGATTTACAGATCACTGAAGTGTGAAGACTGCAGCAGTGTTTTAGGACACTTGTCCAGTTAGTCATTTGAAACCAAGATTATATGCAACCTCAAATTAAAATCAACCAAAAGACACAAATCTCTTTACAAATTGAAATCTAAATGTTTGGAAGGATCAGTTAGTGGCTGGATCTTATCGCATACAAGCAGCACACATGCCGCATCTCGCTTTCTGTGCTGCCGAGATAACACAAAATGGCATTTTGCAGGGATCGGGCGCTCAGGAGATAAAATGTTAGATTTTTGTTTAGATGCTATATCTTTAGCCCTCAATTAAATGACCACTATGTACTTTCCCCTGTGATAAGCAGATTTACCGAGATTGAGGCGCGTTCTTTACTCACCAGGCCGAAAGGCCATCTTTATTTTGATGAAAGCTTCGTTACAGTCAGCAAGGAGGTACTTTGCCTTCCTGTGGTAGATTCTGACAACACCCAAAAGGAGATGCCCAGAAGTACGCAGAGCCATTTTTACCTAGGGGAAAATCAAGTGGTTACAGATAGAAACAGAATGCATAAAAGAACGGCAGGCAAACTTTCTTAACCCGTGCAGTGCTGGTTTGTGTCTAGGTGCAAAAATTAAAAAATACCCACCTGAACCTCGCAGCCGCCCCTTACAGCGCCCTCTCCTCCACCGCAGCAGTGGCATGCCCCTTGGCTATCTCACTTCCTATACACGGTGTATAGAACGCGTTGACTCAGATTTTATACCGCGGCAGCAGAGGGGGAGGTTCCAGGGACCAGTTTAACAAGTTGGCTCAGGAGTTGGTGACTATAAAACTGTTATTTCTGCACCAGGACACAAGAGCACTTGGCCCTTGCAATGTGGTGGAAGCACCACTGCAAGGGTTAAGAAAAAGTTTGCCTGGAGTTCTTTTTTAAAACTGTAATTAGTACAGCACATACCTTGGGTGATATGATGCTCTCCACACTACTCTCGAGGTTGCACTCAAACACATGCGCTTTAGTCAGCTTCTTGTCCCAGTGGGCCGCCAGCCAGATTTTGGCCAGCGGCCCTCTCTTGCTCAGCACAAAGTGTGCGTAAAACATCTTCCTGTGTTAAGGCTTTAGCCACCGAGGAATTACCTGCAAGAATGGGGGGAAAAAAAAAAAAAAAAAGTTATGACTTCTAAATGCAACTCTTAAAATCAAGATACATTTCACAAATTCAGTTTTAGTATATTTTAGGACTATAATGATAGACATATCACAATAGCCAGGCCACAAAGTCCAAAACAGTGGTAGTCAACCTACAATGTATAGGGGGCCGCAACTGCAGCCCCTGAAGTGAAACGGCTGCGCATAATGTTTATTGCATGTCATTCTAAGATTACAGACACTAGAGGAAATGATGATCAAAACCGGCATACATTTGTAGGGGTGGCTGAAGGCATGCAGAAGAAAGCAAGACCGAGAACAAGTTACCTGAGAAACCGAGAACATGTTACCTGAGGCTAATAGAGATCATGGCTATTACCCCTTCCACACCTCAATGCTTCCACTCCTATTACAAACTGCAGGGGTCCAAAGGCCACACGTGGCCCTGGTGTGTACACGGTTTCAGATACATGCCCAAACATGTAGGTAATACAGGGCAATACATCCCTGATATTTGCAAACACATGCTTTCCAGCACCCATTTACCTTTGTGAAAAATGCAGATGTCTGTACACGTAGCTGAGGTTGTGCTATGAGATTTCAATGAACAAACTGCACACTGGTGCACCCCATCTGCTCATTCTGCAGTCTATATGCATGGTAATCTGCATCCACTCAGGAAAATGGGGGGGCGACATACATACATTTATAGGATTCTGAAGGGAAATAGGTAAAGCTCCATGTGAATGGCTCTCCCTAATGTCACCAGACATGAAAGAACGTTCTTGGGTTCAAGAGATTGAAAGTTGATCCAAATCAAAGATTGTAATCCTCACATTTTGAAAAGATCCTCAAAAATGGTCCTCACAAATTTCAAGCATCAGAATTACCTGAAGATTTTCCAAACACCAAATCTAAAACTTCCTGAATCACCACCTTGCATCTACGGCGCTCCCAGCTGATGCTGAGACACATTGCAACTTTGGAACTGCCTGTAGACGCCGCCACTCTCCAGCGCAAGCCACCATGCGGTTCATCGGACGGAACAGCGACCACAGTGCTCCAACTGGTAAGTGTCTCCACACTACACCCACTGCTAGAGTCTGCCCCCTCAATGCCAACCCAAGAGGGGGTGCCGTACACCGCTCAGGGTAGCACCCTTGCCACTACCGCACACCGGGGGGGGGTCACCATCTGGAGCCACTAACGCACAGGAGGATGGTTGCCCTCCCTGAATGACAGAGGGGAACCTTGGCCTAGTCTCGGATGGGGGTCCGACAAGGGATTCCTGTATACGCTGCAGCAGGAAATCCTGGAGTAGGTCCCAACGCATATCAGGGTTAGGCTCTGCCCTGAGGCAAATTGAAAACGAGCCCTAAAAACAACAAACATTACGATGTGAACCTGTGTAGCCGGAGGAAACACAAAAAAACTGAATTGGGATGGAAGGAGGGGGTCTATTTATTTAAATGTGGTTGATGCGTTTCCTGTTGCAGGCAGGCGGAGCCTTATCTCATGGGCTGTCCTGGAAGATGACTGGGGGAAAAAGCAATGCCCTTTTGCTTGATGTCTGACTGGGTGCAGGGCTTATACCACTGAGGTCTATTGTGTTCCCCAAAGAACATTGCAATATACCCATGTATACTGCATCCATGAAGAAGTCCTGACCTGTGTGTTTAGTAGTGTTCATCAAGCAAACAAGAAACAGTTTCTTGTCGCACACCTTACCAGGATTCCCATGTGGATATATCAGCGGGAACTCGAAATGAATGCGGATGCCGCCGCCACCACATGCAGATAGTTGAAAGTCACCAACACACCAAAACGATAGTTACAGCAATGAATTGTTAATTATTGAAGAATGCTGTCCCCCATATGCAAGCGCTTTCTGGGCCACACAGGGTCCCCTTCATCAGGCTCCGAGATGAGATATCGTTTTAGTGTGCTGGTGACATTCAACTAGTAGTGCTCCTCATCGCTTCAAAGTTTTTCTGAAGTCTAGATATTGACTTTAGTTTGGCAGAAGCTTCTGGCAAGTTCTAAAATTTGGGGGTAAACCGTACGACACTTAGTATGTGGGGATCAAATACAAAAAAATTCAGGCTAGTGTCACTCCTACCAAGAAGGGGCAATGTGGTACTCCTGCAGCAGGAATCCCAAATCTTTTCATTTACAAGCAACAGCTGTCACCCGTACAAGGTAATGATCAGACGACCGCAGAAACCATTTGAGGCCTTGTTCACACCAAGCGCAGAGCAGGTGCAGAGGAGTTGCAGGCCGGATCAAAACTGCGTCCAATGTATTCCAATGGTATTTTTTGCTCCAGTTCACATCGCAGCGTGCAGTTCAAGAGCAGGTCCAGAACAGGTGAAAAAACTGCAGCAAGCCCTATTTTACCTGCTCGGGAACACATGCCAACGCCTGAAACGCACTGAGCCATGTTAAACTTAAAAAAAACAATTTTTTTAACCAAAAGCAGCCCGGAACGCATCAAAAAACGCGGCACAACCCGCTGCGTGTGCAGAAACCTGAGCGGATTTGCTCTGCATTTGGTGTGAACAAGGCCTGAAAGCAGCAGAACGCTAGCACACTGCATGTAATCGTATGCGATACCATTACATATGGTTAGGAATCTATCACTATCCCTAGGATGCTCGGGGACAGTCATCAAAGCGCCCAGTGAAAGGTCCAGGTTACACACAAAAAAACTGACATAAGAGTTCAAATAAAAATTCATATATTTAATCCGGCTGCTAGATGTGCGTTTTGACTATACAGTTCCATTCAGAAAAGCAATTCAGAATCTCTCATTTGTACTCTTTCAGCATTTTCTTAAAAACTAGCCAAAAACTTTTTTTAGAGCATGGTTAGGGAAATTTCACTTCCTGTCCTGCTGACAATAGTTTTACAAGAAAGGAAGTGAGAAAATCTGCAACAGGGACACAGACCGCAATAAAAAGCTGGCAGGGCTACTAAACTTCACCTATTCCACTTTTTTAAAAATGAAATGAATTCTGTCTGTATTGCTGGTGGAGGATCCCCCTACCTTCCGATAGTGTAGAACCCATAAAGTGTCCAATCCTCTCAGTTTAATAAATAAAAACAAAAAAAAGTTTCAGCTGGACACAAACCCCGTAGAAGGATTTGAAATAAGAGCAATCTACCAAGTCCAGGTAGAATGGTATAACAGAATGTATGTGATAAATTTCTGTGTAAAAACGTTCCCCAGTTTATCCAATTCAAACATCACCAACCAATGTTCCGGAATCAGGCCCGGCTCCTTTATGAAGGCATTCATCAATCCAACAACGGGATAAGGTTAGACAAGACAGGTTGCCTGAACTAGAAATTTAGAACCAAGGCAGCTGCAAAGCATGTTGTACGATTGCACAAATCTACACGCTACACTCTAAAATACACCTTACAATTATCTGCCGATTTCTGTCTGCGATCGCATTCTCACCCAAAAATCTGCCGTTGATGGGAAGTGCACAACCACAATTACTGTACAACAGGCAGATCTTCGTCTTTCAAGCAGGCTAGAAAAATCTAGTTGGAGGGGGAAAAAAACCTGACGGGTTAGTGGTGTTTTTGGACAACAAAAATCTCAAGATGAAAACGGCACATGCTCAAACAAAAATCTGTTTTTTCGATCGTCAGCTGGACGATTTTAGTCGAACGATAATTGCGAACTAGATTGGTCTGTGCATGATGGGCTGTTTGAATGAAAATTGAACGAGGGTGAGATGCCTGGAAAAAAAAAAAGTTGTACAACTATTGTAAGGTGTATGGCTGCCTTAAGGGAGTCGGTAGAATTGTAAAATCAAAATTGCTTCATGTGGCAGGATCACCAGGTGAAAAATAAAACCTAGTGCAGCTACCACATCCGGGATGATAGAAAAATGTTAAAACCGAGTTAACTTGGGTTTATATACAATAATAATAAAATTACTACCGGACAGTAGGCAGCATGCAGCAGTTTTGTGTTTGTTTTTTAACATTCATCTTATTTGCATACCTAATTTGACTATCAAAATGTTTTGTTTTTAAAGAGGAACTTTACCAGTATCTTCAAAATAACAAAGACACCATGAGAGATGTTTAGTAATGACAATCTACAAACACATACTTCTAAATTGCCGGCTTTGGATTCTTTGCATACCTTATTTCTCTTTTCTTCCCCAGTCTTCTGACAGTGGCCATTTTAACAAAGGGCAGATTACTAGATCTCCCTTTACTTCCTGGAACTCTGGCACATGTAACTAGGACATGTTACATAGTATGAGGTTGAATAAAGACACGGGTCCATCAAGTTCAACCCATTGCGTGTATGCATGCATGCGATTCTGCATGTGTACGAGTCCATGTGTGATCTTGTTCTTAAAGTGTACCTGTACCCCTGTTATGTTATGGTCTCTGAGGAAATCGTCCAAATGCTTTTTGAATGATTTAACACTCCCAGCTGAAATCACTTCTTGCGGCAGCGAGTTCCAGACCCTAACCGCTCTAACGAAGAAGCCCGTACACCCCTTGTGGTAAATCTTTTCCCCACCAATTTTAGGTGGTGGCCTCTAGTCTTTGTTATGGAGCTTACCGTAAAAAGTTTATTGCTGATGTCGCCATCACCATTGAACATCTTGTACATTAAAATCATGTCCCCCTTTATCTCCTTACTTCCAGCGTGAACATATTTAAGTTTAGTAACCTTGTCTCATAGCTTTGGTCCTCCATCCCCTTAGTTTGGTTGCCCTTCTCTGGACTCTTTCCAGCTCAAGGACATCCTTTCTGTGGATTGGTGACCAAAACTGGACCGCATACTTCAGATGAGGCTGAACCAGCAATCTATAAACTGGCAAAATGATAGACTTGTCTCTACAGTACATTCCCTTTTTAATACAAGACAGAACTCTGCTCGCTTTGTTTGCAGCAGCCTGGCATTGCAAGCTATTGTGCAATCTGTGGTCTACAATGACCCCCAAATCTTTTTCCATTTCCGACACCCCTAGTGGAGTTTCCATTATTGTGTAAGCAGCTTGCCTATTTTTAAACCCGAAGTGCATTACTTTACATGTATCGACATTAAACCTCATCTGCCATATAGTTGCCCACTCCTACTTTATCCAGGTCCCCCTGTAATGTTATAATGTCTGAGTCCATGTCTATTACCCTCCCGATTTTGGTATAATCAGCAAACACGGAAACATGGCTATTTATGCCCTCCCCAATATCGTTAAAAAAAATAGATTGAATAGCATGGGGCCCAGCACAGATCCCTCATGACCCTAGACCAACCTGAAAAGGAGCCATTTATAATGACAAAGTGAAAACAGAAATGTTTGCAAATGTATGAAAGATACCTTTGCAGCGGCCGGGATAGCGCTACTTTCGGGGCGACGTTAGCGCGACCTTCTCCGTCGGGCTCCATAGAAAAAAAAAAAAATCGCGCAAAATCCGCCGAAAAAAGGGTCCGGTAGAAGCGACTTGCGACATGGAGCTAAGACAGCTCCATTGACTATTAGCCGGCGACTTCTCGCTATATATCGTGTGGCAAAAATGCACGATATCCCGGCAGAAATTGCGCGATAAGTCGCTACATGTGAACGGGGTCTTAGATTGTAAGGCCTCACGGGCAGGTCCCGTCTTGTCGTCTTCAATCTTATTGTAATGTCTTCCTTATATTGTAAAGCGCTGCACAAACTGTTGGCGCTATATAAATCCTGTATAATAACTGCAGTAGCAGGCTGCAACATAAAATTTAAAAAAGTGAAGGGGGTCTGAATACTTTCTGAATGCACTGTACATGATACTGGTGGCAAGTCCAGTCTATGGATAACAATCACATAAGCGGGTTCCCAGGGAGAGAACTTCTATTATAAGCAAATCATCAAGTCAAGATAAAAAGTTTCACAAGAATAAAAGTTGTGCATAATCGGTTGCTCTTTCTCTGAATGCGAGTTGCAGAAATACCAGCAAAGAATGTTGTATGAACTGCTTTACAGCAAGCGAGAGCAGCTCTCTCAAAGGAATTTTATTGGAGGATTCTGCGATCAAAACTGAAAATGAATGGCTACTATATTGACTAGAATTTACAGAAGCAGAAAGTCTTTTTTTATTCAAGCAAAGCCGTATAAATTTACTGAATGTTTGCCTGGGGCCTTCTTTTAGCTTAGCATTCTAAAGGAAAATAGTTGTACTGCCACCATTACTAAATACGTTTTTCCCTCTGCAAGACCCAGACAGGTTTAGGATATTTAGAATTGGGTATGCACTTTCCTTTGCAGCAGCAGCGATCTGAGGAGAAACAGATCCCAGCGGCTATTTTAAATAGCTGTCATCAGTTCGTCAGACTTTTTTTTGCCTGAAGGGACCTATACGGTTCCGAAACCTCGCTATATGATGTGACAATTCTTTTGTCAATAAAGAACATTGACGGAAATTCCTTCTGATGCGAGTTCATGGTCACTAGAAGATGGTTCAAAGCCACCCGACTTAAGGCTTACTGACATGGCCACTGCAAGCGGTTGTATTCTGCCGTAAGCCTTACGCCGGTGGCAGCGAAAGGGTTAAAGCCAGCTGCAGCAATTGCTTACTTTTCTTCCTTTAAATGCAGACACTGTTCAAGTGACACTGTTAAGTAGGCTATACACTGCGCAAATTTCAACCGGTTCTGCCTGGTATCCCTCAATCAGTTGATTGTAGGAGCAGGTTGGAAAATGCTCAGCTCCAAAATCTATACAGGTATTCTGACAGCGGCCAATGCAGAACAGCCGGGATTACTCCATCCACATTCATAAGCATTGATAGAGGAATCTGTTCTATTTCAGACAGCAGGTTTACCACAGAAAATATAACCATGTATAGCTTCTTCAAAATCCATAAAAAAAACAAAAACATAAAATCACAAACTACAATCATGCTCAATACTGTATCAGATGATCATAGTGAAGAATCCATCTCAGAAAGCAATAAAAAAACCCTGACAGAGGCTTTAACCCTTACCACCTCCATCTATACAAAAAGCTTTGGCTGGAGATGGGCTTCAAGTATTTTTAAAAAAAAAAAAAAAAAACCCACCACAGTCCCCTTCCCAAACTGAAGGTCTATTCCTAAATGTTTAGGGGTACCCAGGAGTGTGGAAATTAAAACTAAAAACTACTGGTCCAAGGACTAAAGCAGAGGCCCAATTTACCTGTCCCTCATGACAATCTATTTGTACGGATACAAAAAATAATTCTAACCAAATTCGTATTTAACCGTGCTAGGAAGTGCTTCCCATCTGTCAGCGTGGTCAGGTGACCATACTGATCAATGAGTGCTCACAATTTGCTAGCGAAATTAAAATCTATATAGTGTAGGGCTGTGCTGGACAGCAGTAAGGGGTACAGATAGTACACCCATATCGGCAGAGGGGGAAGAACCTTTTGCCGAAAGGCAAGTATAGCAGGGAGGGAGAGGGGGCCAGATTTGAGCAGGTAATTCTATTTTCCCAAATTACCTGGGAAAGTGAACTCATCCTTTAATGCACATTGAAGTGAATTTATCCAAACTTGAGCAGACAAAATCTGGAGCAGCTGTGCCTGGCAACCGATCAGCTTCTCTCTCATTTTAAAATCCTAACTGAACAAACTGAAGAGACGCTGATTGGTTGTTATGCACAGCTGCTTTAGATTTTGTCTGCCCCAGTTTTGATAAATTCCCTCTATTTTGTGATGAGAGTGCTGCTGCCTGGCTATCAAAATATATTACACAGTAGAATAGGGGCAGCACTCACGCGTGTTTATTTGCATGCAGATGGTAGGGGTGGCGGCGTTGGTTTTAATTTATATAATTTTTTCGCTTAAATTGATTGTCACACAGGATCTCAAAAGCCCCTATGTGATAGCGTTTGGAGGCGACAGGTTCTCTTTATGGAGCTTGCCCTCCAAAATAGAAGATCGAGCAGAGCATTGTGCTCGATCTCTTGTGCAGTCCAGCTTGTGACAGCTGAGAAAAAGGCTTTGAGTACAGTGCTCCTGTCTCGATCGCACAGAGCAGATTGGAGAATGGACATTCTCCAGTCTGCTCCTCTCTCCATCCTGAAATCATTTGCCGTGGTTCCGGGTCCCCCAGAAGAGTGGGGTACACTGAAAACCAGTGCAGGGAGGTGTGGCGTGGTGAGAATAAGCAGGCTGCTACAAGTGATCGGGGCAGCTGTATAGCCACAGTACAAAATGAGTGACTGCTCCCCAGCCCTTCATTTAGCCTTGCTTGCTTGCAGCAGGGTTAAATGTAGGAGGAAAAAAAAAAAAGAAAAAAAAAAAGCACCTGCCCAGCGCATTAGGAATTACGCATCCCTGCTACAGAAAACAGATTATTATAGTTCTCTTTTAAAAGTTCAGAAGTCAAAATCTGTCATCCTATTAACCAACAAAGCATTTATAAACACTGATACATGATAAAAACATTAGTTTAAAAAACTGTATCGTCAAAATAGTCACTCAACTACACTGTAAATTCAATTCATATCGTGTCTGAATGCCATGTCACATTGTTTTGCCTGATAAAGCGTCAGCATGTGGTTCAGAAACGTGACATTTGCTTGTGACGTTATCTAAATGATGATCGATGAAGTGGACCTCGGTGTGCCGGTGACCTCATTATCTCATTTAGTCTTATGGCGCCATGCGTTGGCCATTTCAGCACCCATTCAAGCTACACATGAGGATACGTCGGTTTGGAGTGCGATGGGATACCTCTGAATGAATGTCATGTCCCATCTCATTATTATTATTAAAGACACCACATTGCTATGAGACCAAGTTTCTAAAACCAATAAATGTTATTTTGCATTTCCACACCAAAGTGAACAGTAACTTAGAATGTGTCAAAACTATCAGGTTTTACTGCTATCTGTGGCTCCGTTTAACCCAAGTATACAAGGTTAGAATTTTTGGATGGAAAAACATTTTCCCATTCTGCACCTTTTTATTGGCACTACGGTTGAAAACTTTTTTTTCAATATGACCCCATTAACAATTAGCAAATCAAACAAACTGTCTGAAAAATCTATCCTTGTATATCTAGCTTGAGTCACTGTCACTGGGATAAACTTTTCTCTAATGGCAACACACAGAAGTAAAATTGCTTTAGTTGCTCAGTAGAGGAATGCTGGGACCTCTATGTTTAGTTATTAATTGCTGTCAGTTTCCCTTTAAAAGATTTTTCCCTCTTTTGTCAGGAAAAAATTTGCCCAGAAAAGAAAGTGAAGGGGCATGTATCTAACAAATGCCCCAGATAACAGTAAAAGCAAAGCAAAGTTCTAACTTTCCCCCACAATCAATAATTAAGTGGGGAAAATGTTTGTTTTCGGATAAAGTAAGTATGAGGCCTGGTTCACACTGAGCGTACTGTCACAATGGATTTAGCCTGACCAAAAGCGTCACCGAAAAAAAATACCCATTCATATGGCCCCTGTGCACACCTAAGCGTTTTGTCGCAATAAGCAAAACTCCTATCACTGGAAAAAGTATGAGATCGCTGCTCGTTTTGGCCCAACATATTCAATTGGAATTGTTTGAAAACCCGCAGTGCAATTAGTTTTGTGCATTTTGACGTACGTATGCATTTTGTCCGACTTCAATGCATCATAATCTGCTCATAAAAACACGCATAATATATGCGCGTATAAACATGCAATGCACATGAACCTGCATAACAGAATGCGCGTTTTTATGCATAAAAAACGCCAATGCTTAGGTGTGAATACGGCCTTACAGAGGAACTTAACCCATATCCTTAAAATAACACTCACCTTTAGAAATGTTTACTAATGACAATCTACAAACACATACTTCTAAATAATTGCTGGCTTCATATTCTTTACATACCTTTATCTTTCCCCCACCCCCCCAGTCTTCTGTCAGTGGCCATGTTAACCAAGGGCAGATTACTAGATCACCCTTCACTTCCTGGAACGTGACCATGCACATGATCTCAGGGAAGGTTGCTCATGTTTGTGATGCCTTTACCTGAGATCACGTGAGATTACCCAGCAATGCTCTGCTGATGTAACCTTCCCAGGAGAAAACGATTTGGAACATTACATAATTTGGACCAGGAAGTAGATGAACTCCATTTGTAAGTAAATGAAAAATCAAGTTTGTTTAAAGTGACATTAAAAGGCAGACATTTTTCCCTCCCCCAATGTTAATGTCAGCACTTACCCTAAATTATGTCTCTTTTTCCGATCTTCCTCTTCTTTCCTGATGTTTTCAGCCTTCTCTCTAGCGGTGCGGCGTCTCTCCGATCCAACGCTGACTGCTCTGTCCCTCGTCGCGTCCCTGCCGAAAATGAGAACTGTGCATGCGCGCGCCCCAAGATCCTTTGCGGCCGCTCGAGAAATTTCTAAGTCTAAGTCTAAACTGCTGTTTGAGCGGTTTAAAAAAAAAAAAAATGTTTGCATATATCTACTGCTTGCTAGCAGTAGATATATGCAAAAAAACCAGGAGGGTTTAAGTATCCTTTAATGGATATAAGATTATATAAATCAGCATGCAGAGCTGTATGCTGATGTGATTTTTAGGGAAAGGGGGTAAAGGTCCACTTCAAGTCTACAGTCAGGTTTTTGCTCACTGTCTGTATCCTACTGGAGAATTCATGTCACTTCAGGGAGAGGAAAAAAAGGACATGAAACTGTGCAAACTGTTGGCGCTATATAAATCTTGTATTATAATAAAACTTTGTAGTTAAGTAAATCCCCTCTTGCACAGATGTCCCCACTAGAGGATTTTCCCCTCACCTCTGCTTCTGCCGCTACTGTAAAACTTTGGAAATCCCTTTCACTATGTATGCGGGGGACAATGTTCACCGGGGCAAACAGAGGATAAATTTCTCCACAGGAGACAGACAAAAAACTCCTGACAGGGGCTCCAATTCTCCAACATGCCATCCAAAATTAAAAGTACAGTTTTGGCCTAAGGCTATATTCATTCGAGCCATAATGAAGGGAAAAAAAAAAAGTGTAAAGAACAAACTATGCCCCAGATCACATTGTCCGGTGTTTAGATGCCCCCGCCCTTATCTGAATTTGAGGCACCTGTTTATACATGGATTGTCACTTTGTCATTTAAGTTCACAATGATTGCCACTTATTTGCCGGATGAATGGACCTTGATAAGTTCCCAAAACATTGCTCATCATCATACTTGCAATGCCATGTGTATCTGCCATCAATAAAAGGACAAATTGATGCATTGGACCTTGGTGTATGGGTGACTATGTCCTTTATGTGGATTTCAAAACTTTCACACTGGCAAATGCCAAACCAGCATTTAGAGCATATTTTAAAAGCATATAAACACATGTAATGATATGTATTGGTATACTTCACACTGCACATTTACCTGCATTTAGGGGTGGTCAGTTTATCTGCATTTAGGCCCCATTCACACCTAGGCGTATTGTAAAATGCGCGACCATCACACGGTTTTTTTAACCGCGATTCGTGGTAAAAAGGTCGCACGACCGTCGCGCGATTCCAAAGGCTACTTGGCTGTATCCCAATGGAAAACGGCCCAAAGTAGTCCCGGGACCTTTTCAGGCGTGGGCCGTTTTGTAGGGCGTTAGGGACGGGCGGAAATACGCCTAGGTGGGAACGAGGGCATTGACTACAATGCTATTTATTTTTTTGACCGTTTTGTAGGGCGTTCGTCGAGTGTAGGACGCGCTACAAAACGGTCAGGTGTGAACGCAGCCTTAGAGAAAACTGAATTCGGTGCATCCAGAAACTGATTAGAAACTAGCTCTACTGATGTAGATGCGGCTACACCTGCTTTAAAGAACTCCAGCAACCTAAAAAAAATAAAAATGTAACCTTTGCAGTAGGGCTACCCTGTCAGTGATTACCTCCCCCCTCCACTCCGGCTGTGGTATGTGCCCCGACATCAAGTCTAAAGGTGGCCATACACTTTACAACCATCGCAAGACCTTAGTCTTGCGATGGTTGTAAAGTACTTAAAAAAAACGTACGATCTGCCCATCTTGGACAGGCAGATCGTACTTGCGATGACTGCAATGAGGGGCAGGCTTGCAAGCACGGCAAACGGGCAGTGTGCGCGTGCGCACACCGGCCCGTTCATCAGTTGTCGAACAAGCAGGTCACTCACTCGCCGAGAATCGTACGATTCCCGGCGGGTTTTCCAGCCTGCTTGTTCGATGGAAGACGTGCGACCGTACAGTAGAAACGGTTGCACGCCTTCCATACACTGTACGATTCTCGTACGATCGCAGGATTTCCAGCGATTCTCGCACGAGAATCGTACAGTGTATGGGCACCTTAAAGCTGGCCATCATGCAAATCTCAGCCAGTTCTTCAGGAATGGAAAAAGAATAGAGCAGTGTATGGCCAGCTTAATGCACGTGAATGGACCTGCATTAGACATGATGTCAGCAGGGCTTAAATCATTGGAGAACAAGGGAGAGGAGGCTGCGGGGACCGGTCTAACAGCCTGGCAGGACTGAGGATCAGGGGAGCGTGTAAAAATAAAACCCTAGATGAAAACTAGCAGCTAATCCTTCCAACATGGGGGTAGCCCCACTGAAAGGTTTAATTTGATAGATTCCTGGAGTTCATCTTTAAAGCAGGAACTAGGGCTGCAGCTAACGATTATTTTCATAGTCGATTAGTTGCCCGGTTATTTTTTCAACTATTCGATTGGTTGCATATAAAAAATCTCTCCCCTCCCTAACCGATAATGAGAATAGTTGCCAACTATTCTCATAATCGATTGATTTAATCGATTAGTTGTTGCAGCCCTAGCAGGAACTTCCAAAAGCCAGAAATAGTGATCTGGAAAGTTTGCTTATATTACCCAGATAATGTCTCCGAGTTCCAATAATCTAAATGCAGATGTGACAGTGTGAATGCGGCCTAAGGCTACATGTACACCAGCTTCATGGATTTGGGTTATCTAAAAACGCAGAGAAATCTGTGAAAGAAAAGCGTTATGTTTCTCAGATCAAGTTCTCCTGCGTTTAGCTCAGGAGTGGACAAATTAATGTTATTCAGTAGCCAGTCTGTCCAATCCAGGATTATCGTTTTTAGGAGCCAGCTCCATTAATAATAGAAAAAACCTCAAAGGCTGGGCGGCAGCTGTCATTTTTAAATGAGCATTGGCTACCTGACACCTGGGATTTGTCCAGCACTGGTTTACATGTACCTGCCTTTATATGTTTACATGCATTTACACATTCAAAATCATAAATAAAATCGGACCCTGGACATACAGAAGTCTTTACTGATCACATCTAAACACGAGTATAAATTACACTATTTGAAATTATTACACGCATAAATACACATATAGAAATGTCGGCCAACCGCATATATAAATGGCAGGCTTGACCGTGCCAGGCCTCATTCACAATGGCGCTCCTGCATTCAACTTTTCAAAGCATGGGAGAAGTGATAGGGAAATAAAGAACTTTTAGGCTACATTCTAGGTGAGATCAGATATGTATATATGCATTTAAAATGGTTTTCTAAACACACACATGCATCTAACGATCTCCAATGGATCTATTCACATGTTGCAGATAAAAGCATCTAAACGCTGTCAGTTAAGCTGCATCTAGAGAAAAAAAAAATAGAAGTCAGGTTTGTCCAGGAATCAATATTAACTTCTAAACGCACTAAAAAGTTTGGATTTGGTACCAGATACATCTAAAAGCCTATGCATGTAAACATGCATCATTCAACTAATTTAGAGGCATTAACAGCATCTGGTCCGACAGATTTGTCTCTGCATAAAGAGCACAAAAACGCAAGTTTGAATGAAGCCTTACACTTCCCAGATCGTGTCCTTGGCAGTGCTTAGTGAAAATAGGATTCAATGCAACCGGGACTTGTTTAAAAACTCTCAACACATTAAGCGCAGCAAAACGTCATCTGGAAAGCACAAACATTGTCTATACTTCCCAGATGACTGCTTCCAATTTTAGAAACACTAAATGTAGACAAGCCAATGTAAACAAGGGCTAAACGCAGTTAAACTGAGCACACAGGTAGCCACTCAGCGTGAATGATAACCCTTTCGCTGCCACCGACATATGTTGTTTGCATCAGGGCCCTATAAACAGAGCCACCGGGACTCTACACCAGAAGCGATTCTGGCGGCAGCTCGCTTCTGCAGGCCGGTGAAGGGCAGCCCCCCAACCAACACCCCAGCTTGGTTCACGGGCTCCACCACCCTTCCTTCGGGCCCGGGACCAGCATCTCTGGAGTTGGCAAGAAGCAGATCGGCGAACATCTGTTTACCGATCTCCTCTCCATGGGACCGTAAGAGACACTGATTGAACCACATCCAGTCCCTCAGCTGTCATTGCTCAGCTGCAGAAGTCAGGCAATAAGCTATTGGGAATGCGATCTGCGCTTCAATAGCTTATTTGGAGTGGAAAGGTGACATTAGGGGTCTAATTGACCTCCTTATGTCACCTTAGATAGACACTTTGCCTGACGAAGGGGTCCTGTGAGGCTCCGAAACGTTGCATTCACATGTCATACTAAAAGGAATACAAATGAAAAAGGACATTCCCGAAGCAGAATGGTGTGCGGACAATCTAGATCGTACATTGTGGCGCCATCCACCAGTTGTTCCAGCCCCCGTTGGATTTTCGGGTACATCGGTATGGTGTGCGAAGGGCTATTTCAAAGACTTAGAGTACCTGTTACCACGGGTATGGCCATGTGCAGCAGAGAGAGCACTAATCCTCATGCCAATAACAGATCTCTCCGATGACCTATACGGCCTTTTACAGTGACAATTTGGGGTACCGTAATTTGTCGACGTTTCACAGACGCAAGCGATTTATTTTTTTTACACTGGCACGTTGGGTATCTACTTACTCGCTGTAATCTCATTTTATATTTTACAAATAAAATGGGTAATACGTGTTTTTTGGGCACTGAAATCAACTTAAGAGCATTTTTTTTTTACAAAATGTTTGGGTTTGATAAGGGAGCTGCACCAATATCATGAAACGTAAAAATTTGCAGATGCCCCCATTTTATTCTAGAGTCTCTGCTTTCAGTAAATATATATTGGGAGGGTTTAAAGTAATTTTCAGGCATAAAATGTGGAACGTGTGGCCGTGGCAGCAAAAGGGTTAAAAGATCTACTTTGATGAGACGTACGCTGGCGGCCAAACCTATACAACAGCACATGCAAATGGCACAAAACAGAGTTTTGATCAGCCAGCACCGGACCTCCTCTGCCCAATATCAGGCTGGAAGTTACTGGTTACCAATCTAGCACGGTGTATCCAGCATGGTAAAGAGAACCTGTCACCATTTCCTACCTCACACCAAACAGCAGCAGCCTTGCTAATAGAAACAGGATACACATTCCACACATGAGCCGGCATTTGTACTCCAGCTTACAGTCCTCCAACTGCACATTCAGCGGCTGGGTGTGTGTATGGCAGAGTTCGCGGAGACCATACCGGAGATCTCACGTCACTGTGCAGAACACTATGACCAGCCGGGGGGATGTCGTCACCGGAGTGTCCTAATATCACCAACAACGTAATTTCCTACTGGCAACCGGTCTTCTAGAGACCTCAGCCGGGGAAAGACTTTAGGAAAGGCCGGGGAATACACTGCGGCCTGCACCGCCAGCCCGCCATATTAGCGAGCGGCCTCGGGGAGAAGGCCCAGGGCCCAGCGCGTCTCACCTTCCTTCAGTCAGTTCCTTCCACCGCACGAAGTCGCCCTCCACCCCATTCCTCCGACACTCACCGCCTTATGCTGGCCCCGCCGTCCGCTGAGGCCGCTCCGTCTCCTCCTTCACTCGGGCTCAGCCGCTGCCACTTCCACTCAAACAAACAAGATGGCGTCCGCGCCTCTTCCTGCCGCCCAAAACGAGCGTTCAAATCCGCAGGATGTTTACTGATGAAATACCACACAGCGGCGTCACCACAGAGATGAGGTGTACTGGATAGAGCGACGCGCCAGCGCCTGACGTCATGGGGCGTGGCGCGTCGGACCGAAAGCGCCATGTTGGAAGAGGAAAGCCTGTGTTGGCCAAATTCAGACTCAGAGAGAGTGTGCTGAATAGAAAACTGGTCTCGTCACCCTTTTAACCAGTCAGACCTTTGCATCTCTTTTCTAAGCCCCTCTGGAAAAATAAATGACACATGCAATCTGATTGGTTGCCATGGACAATGAGAGCATTTTTCCCTTCTCCAGATTGTGTTTGTTGCTTGTACCTGTAGGTGGCTATTGTATACTTTAGAACCCTGCGCTGAGAAAGTTATAAGGACTGTTAGAGGATGCACTAATACCATTTATTCCAGACTGAGTAGCGATACTTTTCTTCAAGTACTCGCAAATACCAATTACCAATTATTTGTGTGTGTGTGTGTGTCATCTGACAGTTTTTATAAAACCATAAAGACTAATGATTTTAATGCAGAATACCACCAGCTAGAGAGGACTACAAATCACAGCAATGCATTATGCCACCAGCTAGAGAGGACTACAAATCACAGGAATGCAATATGCCACCAGCTAGAGAGGACTACAAATCACAGCAATACATTATACAGCAATGCATTATGCTACCAGCTAGAGAGGACTACAAATCACAGCAATGCATTATGCCACCAGCTAGAGAGGACTACAAATCACAGGAATGCATTATGCCACCAGCTAGAGAGGACTACAAATCACAGCAATACATTATACAGCAATGCATTATGCTACCAGCTAGATAGGACTACAAATCACAGCAATGCATTATGCCACCAGCTAGAGAGGACTACAAATCACAGCAATACCTTATACATCAATGCAGAATGCCACCAGCTAAAGAGGACTACAAATCCCAGCAATACATTATACGGCAATGCAGAATAATAGTATATGCTCCAAGCTGCCACTCTGCTCCAGGGTGCTGGCCTAATGTCTTGGGTGGAGGGTCTCAGTATGGGGGAATGTGCCGAGGGTCTTAGGAGAAGAAGGAAATGTGCAAGCTGGCCAAAGCGTTGTAAATAGCCATGGGCTCGATGGGCAACGCTAGTTGGTGTGTTCAGCGTTCGTGTGTTTCTACTTGAGAAGCTACACAGGATCTGAGAACATGTTCATCCATTGTGTTCTTGCAATTGGGTGTCAATCCACAGGTGCATGCAGATGCTCAGTCTAATGGTTTCCGTATTCGAGGCAGTTCCATATGCACAACACCTCACCAAAGTTCTGCAAAGGGAGATCCCTGCTCAGGGGGATAGGACTCCCTTGTCTTTGGACAGGCAGAAGCGTGTCAAGACCTCTCTAGTGTGGTGGCTTTGTTAGTCGTTGCTGTTGAATAGGGAAGTCGACGACGGATGCCAGTCTCAAGGGCTGGAGCGGAGTGACCGGACAGTGGTCAGCACAAGTCCGCTGGACCCAGGAGGAGTCCAGATTTCCAATCAATGTACTGGAGCTTCGGGCGATCAAACTTTGTCTGCTGCACTGGATGGATCTTCTGCGTAGGCATCACTTTAAGATTCAGTTGGACAATGCCACAGCTGTGGCTTATGTGAATTATCAGGGGGGTGCAATCAATGAAAAAAACACATTAAAAAAAAAATACCGTTTTTAAAAGAGCAGTGATTTTCACATTGCTTAAAGTGAAACAATAAAAATGAAAAATTCCTTTAAATATCGTGCCTGGGGGGTCCCCTTAAACTGCCTGTAAAGTGGCGCATCTGTACGATGTATAGAACCTGCTGCAGTAAAAAGTGACATTTATAAAGAAAAAAAAAAGCGTGCGGCTCCCCCTCCCAAACAATACCAGACCCTTTAGGTCTGATAGGAATGTTAGGTGGGACCCCATTTAAAAAAAAAAATGTGTGGGGTTCCCCCCAAAGTCATACCAGGCCCTTTTAGGTCTGGTTGGAATTTTAGGAGGGACCTCAAGTTACAATTTAAAAAAAAAAAAGTGTGTGGGCTTTCCCCAAAAGTCATATCAGGCCCTTAAGGTCTGGTAGGAATTTTAAGAAGGAACCCCACCCCCAGAAATGGGGAAAAAAATACGTAAAATTCCATACCAAACCCTGGATCTGGGCACAAGCCTGGCAGGGCAGGAAAGGGGGGGACGAGCGAGCAGCCCCCCCCCCCTCCATGCCATACTGGGCCACATGCCCTCGGCACTGGGAGGGTACTTTTCCAGGGTCGCCCCTGGAAAAGCACCTTGTGCCGGTGGGGACACGGGCCTCTTCCCCACAAGCCCTGGAGTGTTGATTGTGGGGGTGCCAGCAGGGGGGGTTATTCACATTAGGGTAGAACTTTAATAAAGGGGCACCCAGATGCAGCCCCCCCCACTTGTGAATGAGTAAGGGGTACCCCTTACTCTTGTACCCCTTACACATTCACTAATGTGTTAAAATAAATTTAAATAAAGACTTTTATTAAAAAATCCTTTAATAAAAATAAAAACACAACAAAGGCTTTTGACAAGTCCTTTATTGTTACAAAAAAAAACCAATAACCCAAAAAATGGATCCACCAATATAATCCAGGGTCAATCATGAAGTTCAGCGTTGTCCACTATGACTCGATGAAATAAAAAATAAAACATAAATAGAAATAATACCAAAAAAAACGTTGCCAGCTGACCCGTCCGCTCACGACGAACTCCCGCAGCAGAATGGCATTCTGACAGAGGCCGTCAAAATATAAACAATAGGGCGGAGATAGCGGTGACAATTACTTGCTAGAGTGCTGGGTACGAATGAGGGGGTTTGGCAGTGCCTGCGCTGTTGTTACTATGAAACCAAATGAATACTTGCTGGAGTGATAAGTGCAAATGAAAAGGAATGACATTGATTATGTTACCATTTCTATGGCAATTTTCTCGACTGCCAAACCACCTCATTCGCACCCAGCGCTCTAGCAAGGAATTTTTTGCTGAAGTAACAGCAACGCAAGCATCAGCAATCCCACACATTCTCACCCAACGCTCTAGTGGGGAAACATTTGGTTTATATGTTCCCCTAGTAATGCCAATATAAGCGCCACAAATCCTGTGAATCCACATACCAGAATAGCCAATGTATTCTTGCTTTGGCAAAAAATTAGGAAGTACAGGGACATAATCAATAAAAATGCGTTAGTACAGAAAATGTAAAACATTTATTGTTTTACAACTGAGGGGGTGAACATTAAGATTCATGCAAAACTGGAGCATTTTTAGCTTTGATAGAGTAATGGAGGGTTATAACCCCTGTCAGTTTTTTCTTGTCTGATAGCCACATCAGGAAGTGAGAAAAAATCCCTCCAAAGAGAGGGAAATCCCTGGTGGTCAGCAGGGCCACCAAATCTAGTGTCCCCTTAGGAAGATTTCACATCTATTCCTGTTCTGATGGCTTCTCGGTCTTTTGGCTAAGATCAAGTGTAGTATCTGTTCTTATCAGTTTCCGGAGGGGAAAAGAACCGTCCTGTTGGGCGGATGGATACTTAGTACTCTCTGGAGTACAGGTTGTGCTTGAGAGGTTCCTCACCGGCGAGGGGAGCTTCCCGGCACCGTTGCCTCCTGATGGGGATGGGTGCTACTCTGGTCTGGCCGGAGGGTTCGGGAGGTGCAGGAGGTGCTGTGCCCCCTGGGGGTGGCGTCCCAGGGGGGCCAGAGAATCACTTGGGTGTGGGACCCCACTGAGATCCACTGACACTACGTCACGGCACTCTAGCTTTTTCTGCACTACACCTCTAGGGCAGGCCTTATGGCTAACCCGGGGCAATATTTTTTGTGTTGTGCACTGACCCTCTTTTTATATATGCACATTTGCCACTTTCGACTTTACAGAAGACGGAGGGTGTGGGTACCTTTGGGGCCCTTCCTGATGTCGCGGAGGAGGTTCTGTGGCCCTACAGGCTCCCCTGCCTCCTTCCACTCGGGGGTCTCTCTTCGGGAGAGCCTCCACCAAGTACTCAGTGGACCTTTTTTCGGCAGGTCCATGAGGAGAGGGGTCCGCAGGCCTTCAGGTAGGTGGACCTAAGTCGTTCTTGCCCCTGTCAGGAGCCTTTCCCCCTCGGGGGGTCAGGAAATCAAGGTCCTTCCTCATCAGAAGAGGACCAGAGCACCCTCGTGCACTTTTTTTTTTAGTGTGTTGTAATTTCACGATTCACTTATTTTGTTCACAGTGGTGAAGTGTGACTTCGATGCACGCATCACGGACCTTAAAAAAAAATCTATTCCTGTTCTGATGACAACAGAAAATTTGGGATTTTCTTTCACTTTCAGTGCTAATGGTCACCATGACAAATAGAGGGTGAATCTCCCTAATGGGGTCACATACAACAATAAAAACCCGACAGGTGTTGTAATCCCTCTCCACTCTATCCAAAACTGGAAAAAAAGTTGTGGCTTCAGCTGCACTTTAAGGAATGTTGTAAAAGAGTTGTAAGGTCCACTTCAAATAACTGTTACTGTCCACCAAATCAAGATAAACCTATCTGAAATGTCTGGTGCTTACACAATGCAAACCTGAAAATATTACTACAATTATTCTTGATTTACTGCACCCGTTCCTTTCATTCCATTTTCTTGGATGTAGTGAGTTAACAAGATGTAAATTGAGTTCATTTTTCAGACTGTATATTTTATTATTTTCCTTTGTTACAGAACACGGAGCTTTAAGAACGGAATGGAAAAACACAAAACAAATAGTCTACTCCTCCATAAAGTAAGACAGATTACTGTTACCCCTCTTCTGGCCCAGTCAGATTCATCACAAGCAGCACATAATCTAGTTTGTTCCTGAAGCAGTGCTCTCATTTCACTATATTGTGTGTACTGAGTTACAAATTTTATGCTTTTCTTCAGTTTTAAGCATGACGGGGTGTGATGTTCGGCTTGTCTTCTGTTTGCCTAAATGGAAAATCTACCTTACAAAGTGAGTGGGATGCATGCCAAAGGCTCTTTACTGAATGAAACAATAACG